TTTATACATGGTCATGTGGGTCTCTTACTACTTGGATATATTACATTTGAGGATAGGGATTAGGCACTGTACTCTTCTGTATACATTTGAAAAATCTGATAGTTGGAAATGTTAGAGCTCTCTTGACACTTTGGGGAAGCCAGCAGAGGGAAAAACTAACACGCCGAGAATAGATGAGTGGAGAAAAGGATAGAATCTGGATCTTTGATACCATTTTTCCAAGATTGATCCTACTATTCCTGATGCTACTCACCTGGGGACATTTATGCAATAATACATTTCTGTAGTGTATAAGACAGTTTGAGTATGGATTTTCTATTACTCAGAATTAAAACCACATAAATACTGATACGGTATTATCATCCCCATTTTACAGAGAGAAAACTGAAACTTAGAATAAGTAAGTTGAGTTGCTCAAGGTCACACTGGCAAGCAAGTAGCAGAGTGAAGATATGAACTTGGGTCTTCCTGCCTACAATGTCTATTGTGTCCAGGTTCACTCCATTCCTACCCCCTCCTCCCAACTGTTATCCATTTAACAGAACTCTTTCCCCATTCTTGTTAGTACCATGTTCTTCTTTCCTGCTATTCTTCTGGGCTTGCTTTTTTTCTCAGAGGAAGAAATATGCCTCCTCCTCCCCATGTCTAGGTTAACCTTTCCCCTAAGGATGCTGCCCGTGCCCTCCCTGTCTTCTTTGGCACTTCGCTCTATCAATCATTCAGCTTCTCAAATTATCAGTTTCTTCTTTTCACTTAGTACCTGAATAAATTCAAGTCATGCCTGACATCTCCACCCTTTCTCATGATCCTGATAACTCTTTAAGCTATTCTCTCCTTTATTACATTTACCAAGAGACTTCTGGAAAATGCAGCCTATGTTTGCTATTTCCACTAACTTCCCCTTAATTGAGATTGCTCTCGTAAAAGTCTCTGAGGGGGAGGGGGCATTGCAACCCTAGCCACCCAAAGGAGGAAGAGATGATATTATGTCGTGTTGTGGTACAGGGACTTCTCCTAGATGAGTCATGGTTATTAGTGGGCGGGGTCAATGTGTGTTAGAATATCACCCATGCCTCATGCTTTTGTGTGTTTTCTGCTTCCTATCTCCCTGTAATGAGTAGATCTAGATGGGGCATTGTCCATTGCGACATGCTGACCATCTTTTTTTCTCACCCTCCCTTCCTGCCTCCCTCAGCCCCTCTCTTTCCTCCTCCTCCTTGGAGCAAGTCAAAGAAAGACAAGATTTGAGGGGAAGTGCTAAACACCTATTATTATACTTCATAACTAAGCCACGGGACCTACACTTTACCTTTGTGCCTATTAACAATATAATATATTTATTCTGATGCTGCTATTGTCTATTATATGGAGAGAAAGGAGGAATGATGAGTAGGGCAGGATTCTGGCATTACTAGGTTTCTGAACATAATACCATCAAAACAGTGTTCTGATTCTCAGCAGTCACCATTGACATTTTTTCTTTTGTCCCCCAGCTTTATTATAGTACGATTGACAAATAAAAACTATATATATTTAAGGTGTACAATGTGATGTTTTGATATATGTATACACTGAGAAATGATTACCACAATCAAGCTAATTAAAATACCCATCACCTCACGTAGTTACCCCTTTTTTGTGGTGAGAGCATTTAACATCTATTCTATTAGCAAATTTCAAATATACAATATATTATTAACTATTAACTATAGTCACCATGGTGATATTTGGTCTTTACCATTAACTTTCTAACAGTCAAATTCAATGATTTCATATGGGATTTTATTCTCTTTGATCTCTATGCAATATATTTGATTCTCTTAGCCAGTCCCTCCTTCTTGAAATACTTTATTTGCCTTTTATGTCTTGTTACTGTACTAGTTACTTATGTCAACCCAAATCTGTTGGTTTTATTGCTCAGTATTTATTTGCCTATCTTCTGGCAAAATAGTACCCAAGATTTCTTATGGGAACCACCCCCCCCCCCCCCCATCTCGGCCCATATGATTTCCTTCCACTAACAGCTCAAGATGTGGGCACTGATTGCCCTACCCCAATCATCAAACTGCAGCCTCCTAGCCATGGTAATTGAGTCAGGGATGGGCACGTAATTGACAGATTCAATTAGATACAATAAGAAGTTTGTTAGGGCTTCAGAGAAAGAAGCCCTGTTTCTGCCCCTCATACCTGAGTGGAATAGTATATAGAGCTTGGAGCTTGCTGTAGCCATTTGGCCCCCACGTGGAATTTGAGAAGGGAGCCTAAGTAGCAAGAAGCAGAGTGGAGAGATGGAGCAAAGTCTGTCTTGGTGACATCCTGGTGTTTGAGTTCTACATCCAGCTGTACTTGAAACCAGCCTATTATAAACTTTTTGAAGACAAGAGGCAATAAATTCTCCTTCTCTGCCATGATTTTGGCTTAAACTAGTTTTACTTGAGTTTTCTTTCTTTTGCAATCTAAACAACACAAAAACAAACAAATAAAACAACCTCTATATTTTACTGTGTACATATAAATGCATAGAGAAAGTTCTGGAAAGATGCATTTTGAAGTGGTAGGAGTGGTTATCTTTGGGGAAAGAGGACTGTTGTGGCGGGAGTGATGATTGGGAAGGGACTTTTGTGTTATCTTTATTGTTAGACTGCTTTACAGCAAGGATGCATTACTAGTGAAATTGAAAATAAACATCCAATAAACATAAAGGCAAAACTGCTTCCAGCCCTACCATCCTCTGCAAATAATCACAACAACAATTTTATTGAATTAATGACCAAGGTCTTTGCCTGATATTCAGGATCTGTAGCAGTACAGCTGAAACTTCTCTCTCTTCTTTCCCTGTTCTTCCATGGGTCCTTAGTGTTGCTGGAGATTGTAAATCAAATGTACTTAAAACTGGGGCTTTTGAACTCACCTTGCAAATCAATAATGATGCTTTTAATTATTATTTATTCTCAATAGCAATTACTTATATTCCAAAACACTTTTTCATGCTTACTCTAGACAATGAGTAGTTGCTGCACCGTTATCTGCTCTGCAAATGAGAAAACAAGGCACAAACTAATCTAGTGGTTTGTCAAAAGTTGGACAGTAAAACAGTGATGGTAATGGGATTCATGTCTTTTGATTCTCAGCCAACGGGCTTTCCATTTCACCATAATCTGCAGTTGGGGCAGGCTTCAGGGAACTCCATTTTAGACTCACGCTGTAGTGCTAAATTGAACCTGGCTCCCCTCCAGGGCCCAGAACGCTGTTTAACTCTGATGCCTTTTTTTCATGTCATATTTCTTTTCAGATGTAACGTGACCGTACGTATTTAAATACGCTGATGATACGGAGCAGAACCATTTTAAGCAGTTTAGCGTTCCATAACAGAAAAGCTGAATTTCCAGCAAGGATGCTCAGGAGCCAAGGTGTTCACCACACCTGCTAGGAGGAAAAGGCAGTTAGTTTCACCTCAGCAAGAAGAAACTGTCAACAGTATCAGCTAATTCTCTTCTGGGGGAGCCTTCTCTTCAGAAATGGTGAACCGGATCACCACCAGGTGGCGCAGTTTTACTATCCGTACAGTAGCAGGCACGGAAAGGGGCGCGCGCTCCCCAGAATCTTTTCTGAAGCCTGAATATTAAAGAGCTCATTGTTCCAGAACGAAAAGCTCTCTCCGTATAACTGATCCCTGGGAATAATGACAGAGGCTTGCTTTAAAGCCACACAATAAGTTTAAACAGTTAAGCCCTCTGAGCTCATTAACTCCTTTTTCCTTGCTAGAAAGGAAAGTCTATGGTGATAATCATGATTAATGCAAATGAAAGCAATCTTGACAAATCCTAATATAACTTTTTATTGAAACAGGGACGACAAAAATCCTTTTCTCTAAAAGGAAAAAGTTTTAGACTGCATGACAAACAGGCCTCACGCTAAGAAATCTTTTGCTCAAATAAGGGAAATAAAAGCACACTGAAATAGTAAAGGATAGAATCATGTGACGCTTCACCTCCTGCCCTCAGCCCGAAGAATGAAAGCAAATCAGAGGAACAAAGTCTTGTTTCTCTTCTGAAGTGGAACTGTATAAAATGATTTACAAATGATTTAAATCAAAGAGAGGAAAGAACTGACAAGTGGCAATTTTTTAAACTCAACCGTTTAAAAAATTTATCGCAGGTAATGCCACCTTTGCTTTGTTTCAAGCAAATGAGGCAGTGAAAATTGCCCCTGAACAGTGCAGATTGCTCCAGGGCAGAAGACATCCTTCCTTCTGGCGAGCGTGGAGGAGGAGGAAGGTAGAAATGGCCTCTTAAATCACAAATCTGATTCTTGGGTTTACTTTCTAACAGTAGGAACGCCCTGGTTATACATGAGTGGAATGCGTACATGAGAATTTTCTGTTACACGTCAGGCATCCATAGGACATTTTTCATTCACCTGGGGAGATCAGTTATCTCTGTCCTCAAAGAATCAGGATGTATCGTGCCTTTCAAATAAGTATAAATCGAGGAGAGACTGGCTCAGGAGAGGAAACTGGTTATAGAAATGGAAGAACACAGTTCTAAATGGCTTCAGAGCAAACGCATTTATGTCACAATATTATAAAAGGAAGGGACGGGTCCTTGCTATGTCCCATACCAGGATATTTGTTCCTAGGCCCTTTCCAGCCTTGGCCGTCCCCAGGCTGTTAGAAGGTGGCTCAGGACGTTTTGAGGGATTCTGTCTCTCCTCTCCCTCACCGTGCAATCATCGGAGGTAGTTTCTTCGGTCTGGAAGCCTAGTGCCTGGCATCCCCACATTGGCCAGCTCCCCAGCTGCAGCCCCAGGCAGGGGTTGATTCCCGACAGACCCCACGGACCTCCGTGAGGGAGCCTAGCTCAGAGATCGCCCTCGACCGGGAGGGTGGGATTTAGGGGTCTGGGGCGGGCCAAGACCGGCCCAGCCCACGGAGGGGCGGAGCGTCTCCGCGACCCCGCCCCGCCGGCCCGGGGCTGCACGTGACCCGCGGCCCCGCCTCCCGCCGGCTCCGCAGCGCCAGCTCGGCAGGCGCGGGGCGTGAGTCTGGAGTGGGGACCCGCCGGGCTCCAACTCGGCAGCGCCGGCGCTCGGCGGGCAGCAACTTTCTCCCCGCAGCGGCCGCGGCGGCGGAGCGGGAGGCGGCAGGAGCAGGCGGCGGCGGCTGCTCCTGGCCGCGCGGGGCTGTCCAGCCCTCCGAGCCCTCCGGCCCGCGGAGCCTCGCGCCCCCCGGCGGCCCCGGGCCCCTGCCCTATGTCCCGCAAGGCGAGCGAGAATGTGGAGTACACGCTGCGGAGCCTGAGCAGCCTGATGGGCGAGCGGCGCAGGAAGCAGCAGGAGCCGGACGCGGCGAGCGCGGCCGGGGAGCGCAGCCTGCTGGCGGCCGCCGAGTCGAGCGCCAGCCTGCAGGGCGCGGGCGCGGGCGGCGTCGGGGACCTGGAGCGCGCGGCGAGGCGGCAGTTCCAGCAGGACGAGACCCCCGCCTTCGTGTACGTGGTGGCCGTCTTCTCGGCGCTCGGCGGCTTCCTGTTCGGCTATGACACGGGGGTGGTGTCGGGGGCCATGCTGCTGCTCAAGCGGCAGCTCAGCCTGGACGCGCTCTGGCAGGAGATGCTCGTGTCCAGCACGGTGGGGGCGGCCGCCGTCTCGGCGCTGGCCGGCGGGGCCCTCAACGGCGTCTGCGGCCGCCGCGCCGCCATCCTGCTGGCCAGTGCCCTCTTCACGGCCGGCTCCACGGTGCTGGCCGCGGCCACCAACAAGGAGACGCTGCTCGCTGGCCGCCTGGTCGTGGGGCTCGGCATCGGTGAGTTCGGGCTCCGCGAAGGGCGGCCGGGGGTCCCCAGATGTCACCGCCCTTGACTCTTATCGCTGCTTTCCTTTTGCCTCTCTGGGGTCCCCGTCGGGTCTTGCTGGGTCATAAGAATCTCTTGCTCCGAGAGCCCATCTGTTTGTTAGTCCGGCTTCCAAGGCACCCCCGGGTTTTGGGGGGAGGGTTTCTCCCAGCCCACGTGGAGTCTTCGATCGCCCACAGACAAGTAAATCCGTGTGGTGGTTGCCTCTCTGAGCACTTCCAGGAACCCGACTCTTCGCCAGCTTTTTCCTTGATCCACCCCTACCTGATGCCGAGATAGAACTTATGAGGGAAGGTCTCTTTCCTGCATTGTGTTGCTTTGTTTCTCCACGGCTAGTCCCTTTCCTTTTCTAGGCTTCCAAATTCCGAACCCAGTCAGTCTTAAAGTCACAGTAAGAGAATTTTAAAAGTTAATCAAGTAATTCTGGACTCGAAAACTGCTCTTTGCTCCTCCTCTCTTCTCCAGTCATTGATCTGTAGGTGGAGTATTATTTTTCTCTCCTTTTGCTTTTACTTTTTGTGTTGCCTTTTGCTTTCATCCTTTTCCCAAGTGAATTTCTTGCTCCTCTGTTTCTCAACTTTTTCCTTTAAATCCATATTCACCCATTCTCCTCTTTGTTTGGTCTCTCCTGCTTTCTCCTTGGGAACCAAACTATCTATTAAAGGTCATGTTCACTTCCTAAATTCGTTTAGGAGCTACTCCCCCTCTGGATAAATGCCCAGCAAGATAGATGTTTGCAATTTACTTCAAAAACGAAGGGATTAAGGTTCCCCTGGCATTGATTTTTCACCCTGGTTGCTGAACAGGGGAGATAGAATTGGCAAGTTCTTGGCAGAGGAAAGCTATTTGGAATGTGCTCAGTATTATTAGAGAGCACTTTTGAGGGAAAGTGGGGGGTTGAGACTGAAATCTCACTAGTAATTTTTCTAAGACGCACCGCTGATGCTTTCATAATGTTGCATTTTATAGTTGAGTTTTTTGTTTCCTTTAGGGCGCTGTTGAAGTGTTTCTTCCTTGTGGCCGGGCCTTGATGAAAGCACTTTAAAGCTGGGGCTCCTGATGATCTGTCTGTTCCCCGCTTGTCTGATGTTTCTGCTTTTCATCCCTTCTCTGTAGACTCCTCAGGGAAGCGAGCCCCGTTTGTACCACTCCACATGTGGGAACCATGAGCCTAAAACCCAGCTCATTGCACTTTATATCCAAAATCTGTCATCACTGACCTCCCTTTTGTTTGTTTATTGTACTGTTATTTAGTGTAGCCGGGCAAGGCTCTCAGGAAAATGTTAAGTTGGCACATTAAAGTCCAAAATGACCAAAAAGTACAGCTGAAATGAAACCGCTTTGTGGAGGCCCTCCCTGAGCCTTCAGGACCCTGCAGCAAATAACCTGTGGGTAAAGTCCAATGATCCAGCTTCTTTTCTCAGTATTCTTAGCATTCTCTACTTGGAACACCTGGACCGCCTTTTGTGTTTCTTCTGACATAGAAATAACATCATTTTAGGCAGCAAAATTTGTTCAGTAAGTCGGAACCTTATTTGTGATTTTGAAATTGAATGATATTGGCAGAGATCTCTGCCTGAGGCTTCCTGCAGTGTTTAGCTCTGGCAAGTGGTGGGTGTTTGGATATTATGTTTCCTCTTTGATCTGATAGGAAAGTTGTGAGCAGAAAGGTGAGGAGTTTATACTCCAGGAAGAGAGACAGGGTGGGACTAAAGCTAGATAGAACTTGCTGGACTCTACAGGAAAGGCACTCAGAGAGGGCTGATGAATTCAGAGAGGGTCCGGTATCCCCCAAGAGAGAAGCCGGAAGCCCTTCCTGATGGAAATGGTATGTTGATGCGTGAGTAGTATTTTAACAGCAGAAATGAGGACAGGACTTTCTGAGTCGAGGAATGAATCAAGGAAGGAAAGCATAGGGTGTGCTTGGGGGAACAAGGGGCATGCAACAGAGAGGCTGAAGCTGGAGGGAAGCCTGGAAAGGGGGGTGTGCAGGAACCGGGGACACCTCTGTCTCACAGCCTCGTGCTGTGGCACCTGGGTGGCTGACAGAACAGCCCAGTTGAGATGTAATCCTAATTTAGTCCTGGTGTGGCCTCTCTCTCTCTCACCTGGGGACAACACTTCTCGGAGTAGAAGTCCTGACACAAAGTTTCATAAAAGCCCCCCTTCACTTATAAAATGAAGAATGTTCGAAGGTCATAAACAAGCTTTAGAATAGGCCACATTGACCACCACCACGATGTTAGGATCCGTTGAAAGCAGGTAACTGTACATGTAAAATCCTTAAAACTCACAGATATTGCTAACCTCCCAAAGGAGAAGTCACAGAGTTACTTCTACAGGGAAATAGGTCTCTAGCTACAAGGATGTGGGTCCTTAACATGAGCATCTTTTTTAGGGACACTACATCACTTTGGCTTGTTTAGGATACTAAATCGGAGTTAATTTCTTACTACCTTTTTGAAGTAGTTAAATTTTATGTGTGGTCAGGAGCTTCTTTGTTTTTTTCTTTTTTTTTTTTTGTCTTTTTGATACTTAGTAAATGTTGATGAATAACAAAATACGGCTTCTGATCTCTTTTTTGTACAAGTTTGCAATGATAATTTCTTTCTCCCACAGATTTACTTGTGGTAAATATAAGGCCCATGGGGACAGGGATTTTTGTTCATTTTGTTCTCTGATACATTCTTAGCCCAAAAGAGGCACTTCTTGATTGAATGAATAGTGAGCAGGAACATTAAAGAAAGAATTCCATTGCTGGTAGGGTACCACTTTAAGTTAGGATTGTTCTTTAAAAAAAAAAAACCTTTTCCAAAGTATTTGAAAGGCCAACTAAGGGTTTTAGTTTGTAGTAGTTTAATGAAATCATTCATTTATTTATTCAGCAAATGCTAATTAAGCTTCTGTTATTGATTGTCAGATTTGGAGTAAGACAGTATTAGACAGATAAAAATCCTACCCTGGGGGTATTTATACTCTAATGCAACAGAAAGACCTTCAACAAGCAATTAAAATACAATAGAGGTTTCTCTAAGTGCCGTGGGAAGCAGCAGATGGGCAATTGATTCTTTTGGGGGGAAGAAAATAGAACACAGAATTGAGGCAGTTTTACAGAAATACATATTTAAACTGAGTTTTGAAGGGCGAGTAGGAGTTCAACAGATCTGGGAGCCTGGAAAGAAGCTGGTATTTCTTTAGTGCTTCAGTATGTCCTAGGCATCCTGCTGCTACTTTCATATGTTATCTCACTTAATCCTTCCACCTCTGTAAAATAGGTGTGAAGTATGTCTCTTTTGCTGGATGTAGAAACAGCTTACAGCAGTTAAATAACAAGGTCACTGGTACAAAGTTAGGATTGAAAAAAACAAAGACTCAGAGCCTTTTGCTCTATTACCATACAGGGCATTTGGGGTGGAGTTAACAGCAGGTGTAAAGGCACAGAAAAGTCAGTGTTTGAAGCGCAGAGTGAGTGAAGGATGGCGATAGGGTGATCATGAAACTGCAATGATTTTCTTGGTGGTGGTGGGTTAGGCTGTGTAGGGTTCATTTGGCCATGCCTGTGCAGAGAGAGTCATCGGAGGTTTTTAGCTGTAAATGATGTGATCAGATTAAACATTCTTTGAATCTGGTCTCCTTCTTTTCCTGTTCTGCTTTTAAACTCTTGGTTTCTTTCCTGAACCTTGCTTCTTTGAATTGTGTAATATTAGAAATCCTTTGCTGAGACGGTTACTACAGGGTGGGTGGAGCATAGTGTGTGGCCATGAATTACTGGAATAGGCAGAGTCAGTGAGGCCTTCAACAGAAACCTTTGAAAAAGACACAGATACCAAGCAGTAGAGGGTAGTGGTTAGTCTGTATTAAATGAGTCAGATGGTAAAAGACAGAGGCATCAGCCATCAGGGGTATTTGTCTTCGTTTTAGTTTAAGGGCTCATTTTCCTTTACAAGTTACAATAAATCAGGTCCTGAGCGCCTGTTTGCACAGGGCATTATTTTAGATTTTGGTTTTCACCAGAGGTTCCTTTAGTTCCTCTGCTTGATTTTCTTGTTGTACTTGACTTGAGTTCTGGGACCAGACTTTCTCTGTTGTCCCTGCCCTATACCACTGCCACCCAAACTTCTTAAACCTGAAGATTCAGATTTCAAATAGGACACAGATTTGCCATCCTAGAACTTACTCTCTTCTACAGGGTAATCTTATTTTGTAAGTAATCTTATTTCCTTTACACACGGTCACCTTTTGCAAGGGTTCGCTTAGCAATGTTGTACTCATAATGAAAGTTTGTAGGGATGGTGAGGTCCAGCAGGACTGAAGGAATGTGCGTTTGCACAGGTTTGCTTCATTTAGTTATGTGGGACCTTGTATCTCTCATGCGTAACACACTCAAAAAGTTGTCTAGAAAGGGCACATTACAAGAATGTAGGACTGTTAGCACTGTTAGTGTATATGTAGTCAAAAAGCACGCAATTTACTGTTGCCATTTCCCCATGGTGTCGGCGTCTACTCTGTGCTCATTATAAGTGGTGATTTAGTGCCTGTGTAGGGAATATCAAGAAGTGTCTAAATTCAGATTTTCACCAGTATTCAAAACCTTTACTGAGAATTGACTTATTTTATACAGCACTGTGTTGGTTGAATTAATCTTAGATTTACATCGGTTTCTCCTGTCAGCCTTGGTTCCAGTACTCCCTCTACTGGAACGTAATTTGCAGCTGTATGGTGCAGCTTGTAATTGGTATTTATGGCCTATTAAGAAAAACTTTATAAAATATCACCTTGTTTTTTCAAATAGCACTTTGAATTCTTATTCTTTAATGCAAAGCAAACGTAAAATCTTGTTTGATCAAAAAATCATGCAATATTGAGATTAATATCAAAGAGTTTTGTTTAGGGTAACCATAGTTAGCCAGAATCACCCAGGTTTTTAAATAATCAGTTAATGTAATTTATT